GGGGGGGGGGGACTGCGCATGCGCGTTGGGTGTTTAGGCGGTGGAAGCTGGATTTGGTGGATTCAGGCTCTTGTAGGTGCTTTTCCTTTGCTGCTGTTTTTGGGCCTGTCAATTTAGGAAACTTTTAAACCTGTACAGAATACTTAAGAATTTATTTACGCCAGGCTTACAATTGCTGGGAGCAAAAGCTCAGCGGATTGAGAGAATGCTCCGGAGAATGGAAGCTTTGTACCTTATTTTATAAATTAGAATCAAAGGAAGAGGCCTGAGGGGTTACATGAAATCCGTTGGTGATTAGAGATGTGGGAGAAAGCAAACCCAGGAAAACTCTGGGACTGGTTAAAAAGTAAAATGAATAGACACAACTTTTATAATGGTGGGTATAGGATAGTTAACATTTACAGTACAAAGAGATGGTATGTGGGAGAACAAAACAACAGGAGGGGTTCTGTGGTCGCCTGCTCTGGAGGGAGGGAAATTCTCTGAGGGTTCTGGAAAAGGGGGATTACTCTGATCTTCCAAAGGTATGTTACCATAGATGCAAAAAGACAATAGACAGGCTCATTTAAGGTAAAGATTGACCTTTGTCAAGGAAGATACTGGCCTAGGACATGAATACCCACCATGACTCACTTTTAGTTCGGAAGTTTTAATTTCTGACAGTCCTGTGTGATTACTTTAGGTCTCTGAGTTTGTAAGGTGGCCATGTAGGCCTACCCTGAGCTTGTCAGGTTTGTATGTGGCCCCTTTTTTGTCCACAGGCTTTTTCAGTTGACTTGAAATGTCAGCATGTGCCTGTTGTGGGTGAGGTGATTCTTTCCTCACACCAGGGCCCTCTGACCTTGACCTCTGCAGAAGACAGACTGGAGCTTCAGAGAAACACTTTCCATTTTCCTGGAGGGTCTCCACAGTAGTCTGGGTTTTCGGGAGTGTTGTTTGTAAAACCGTTCCAGGTGGTTCAGTTGATGGGCTAGTACTGACCAACTCCCTGTCTATCCTTCCCTGGCTCCCTAAAAGTAGAGTATTGGCTAGGTTTTACTCAGCAACAGCAAGGTTCTGACATGTAGTAAATGCTGAAATAGATGTTAGTGAATGAATGACACCGGTAGTATTCCTGTTTTTGCCTTTTGTTTGCATGGTTATGTGGTAATGATGATTTATTTTACATATTTCTTTGAATACCTACCTTGTGCCAGGCAATATTGTAGGCATTTGGGATACACCAGTGAAAATACAGACAAAAATTCCAAACCCTTTGTGGATTTTACATTCATGTAGAATTGACAGTAGATTAACAATAACCACTATATAAGTAAATTGTAATTTGTTAGAAGATTATAGTTTGTTATAAATGATGCATGTTATGAAAAAAATTAAAACAAGCAAAGTAAGGGGAACCATGAGTATGTGTGTGAGTGAGGGTGGGTGGTACAGGTTATAATATAAATGTTTAGAGAGAATTTTGTATATATATGATTTACTTGGTAGGTCCATGGGACATTCTCTACTTTGCTATGAAAAATACCTTGATAAACTGAAAAGAATAGAGATTTTACAGGTCATGTTCTCTGATCATAATCCAACAGAATTAGTAATAAATAATAAAAATAACCCCAATAATTTAAACTATAATATTGGACATTTGAAACACCCTCATAAATGACATTTGAATCAAAAAGGAAATAAAAATTAAAACAATATATACAATAATCAGTTAAAATCAAAATAATTCCAAAAATCATGGGGCCAGATGAAAGCTGTCTTAAGAGGCAATTCTATAGGCTTAAATGTCTTTATTATTAAAGAAGAAAGAAAAAAATACATAAACTTACTATAGATCTTAATTAGAAACAAAATGGCAGTAAGGGAAGCAATAAAGATAACAATTGAAATTAATAAAACAGAAAACCTCAAAACTTGCATAAATAAATCCAAAAGCTGGCTCTTTGAAAACACTAACAAAATAGATAATCCTTTCTTGACTCTGATTAAAAAAAAAAAAAAGAGAGAACAAAATTATGTAAGATAGACAGAAAGGAGGTAATGATGCAGAAGGAAATTAAAATTTTATAAATTACTAAAATTCAAGACAACACATTTGAAAACCTAGGAGATATGAATGACTTTCTAATAAAACAGACCCAACAACTAGGAAACATGAAGAGACTAATTACACTAGAAAAATTGGAGATTAAATACCTACTATAAAAATAGCATGGAGACTTTAGTTAAATCCTTTTTAAAGAACAATAGATAATTAAAATTTTATTTTTTTATTTTTTTTATTATTATTTTTTTTACTATTCTAGGGCAAATAAAAAGATGGAAACTCCCTAAATCACTTAATGAAGCCAGCCTTACTATAACCTGATAAAGACAGTATCATATTCCTCCCCGGCAAGTTCATGAGTATGTATTCAAAAGAGAATTTGGTACCTTATCAAAAGAATAATTCAAGAGGTTTTATTCCGGGAAAGTAAACTTGCTATATTAGGAAATCTATAAGGATATTTTATTGCTTCAACAATTTAAAGGAGAGAAGCCATGTTATTTAATAAATGCTGAAAAGTTACTTGAAAAAATTTAAAAATCATTCTTGACAAAATAAAATAAAATAGAAATTACAAATTGATAAAGACTTTATAGAAATATCCAGCAGCAGGTAGTATTCTAAGCACTCAGATATTAAGATATTTCCTTTAGAGAAAAAAGAGGACATCTGGTGATCGCCATTATTCAACATTCTTTTGGAGACTAGTAAATGCAATAAGAGAGATAAAGTAATCTGTATAAATGTTGGATAATAAGAGATGAAGTTATTTCTTTTTGCTGCTGTTTATAGCTTATATGCCTAGAAAGGCCTTCAGTTAAAAACAACATAATAAGGGAATTTGATAAGGTCTCTGGGTATAAGAAAAATAAACAGACCAATAGCCTCTTTTTATTTTCTGCAATAACCATCTAGAAATATAAATGAGGTCAATATTCCACTTGCAATACCAAGAAATATTGTTAGATATAGTATTTATATATTTGTTTAATATTTTGTATTTAGTATAGTATTTATAATGTCGGAAATATATTTTAAAGTCAGCTTTATTGAGGTATAATTTACATGCAGTAATATGCATAAGTGTACAGTTTTGGCAAATATACATACCTCTGTAACCACCACCCAATCAAGATACAGACCTTTCCATCACCCTGGAAAATTCCCTCATACTTGTTTGCAGTGAATTCCTCACCTTCTGAGGCAACCCCTGATTCAATTTCTATCACTCAAGATTAGTTTTGCCAGTTATAGAACTTCAGGGAAATGAAATCATGTGTCCTTTTATGTATTTGGCTTCTTTGACTCAACATAATGTTTTTTGAGAGTCATTGATGTAGGCTGTTCATTTTTCTTGCTAAGTACTGTTTTCATTGCATGATATACCATAATTTACCCTTTCACCTGTTGTTGGATATTTAGATCATTTCTAGTTTTTGGCCATTTAGAATAGAGCTGCTATGAACATTCTTGTGCAAGTGATTTTGTGTGCACATTTTTATTTCTCTTGGGTAAATATCTAGACATGGGTTTGTTGAGTCATATGGTAAATAAAAATTTAACTTTATAAGAAACTGCCAACTGTTTTCCAAAGTGATTTTGCCCTCCCACCAGCAGTGTATTTAGCGTCAGTTGCTGTACATCCTCTTCCTCACTTGGAATTGTCAACTTTTTAATATTAGCTTTTCTGATAGGTATGTAGTGGCATCTTACTATGGTTTTCATTTTTGTTTTCCAGATTACTTATGATATTGAACATCTTTTTATTACATTGTTTTCCATTTGCATGTCTTTTGAAATGAAGTCTTTGTCTATTTAAAAAAAATTGGGTAGTCTTATTGCATTTTAAAACTTCTTTATATATTCTGCACTTATGTCCTTTGTCAGATACATGAATTGCAAATATGTTCTTTGCAGTAGTTATAATCCATCAGGAGACAGCTGTGCAGATAGAGTTAGGAGTTCATGAAGTGTTTGGGGGATAGGGAGCATAATGCTTGTGAAAGAGTGGAGGAAACATGATTAAACAGGAAAAGCCCATAAAAAGGGATGCTGATCTTATCTCTATAATAGGAAAGGGAAGAGGAAGCAGGATTGGGCGGAGGAAGCTTCAGATTGGTATGTAGATCTGACAAGGTCTTGGCCAATATAAAGGGGAGCTCTGAGGCAAAAGGCAAAGAGGAGTTCTGTGTTACACACACACAAGGCCTGGCCTTGGGGCTACTGCCATACTCAATTACCGGCTGGGGCATGACCTGGAAGAATGTGATCTTGGCTGGAAAACTGAGGGAGATCCTGTAAGTGCTAACAGCTGGAGGCTGACAGCTGTATCTTGCCAAGAGCAAGATGATCTGTCAAGGTCCTTTTATATGTGTGATTCT